GTTAGTAGTGATGCAGGGGTAGTAACATTTGGCCGAATATCGGGTTCGGGTACCCGGTCACTAAGCTTCGGCCCGGTCCGGGTGTCAACTAGGACTAGTTTCTCCCCTGTCCCCCCCGGTAAGAGTTTTAACAGTGCCTTTCTCTGTGTATACGTCCTGTATCAGTACATAGATTACATTTTAAATAAGAGATAGATAAAAAATTTAAGAGTAATTTTTTAAGATAACATAAAAAAATTGTTAGAGTTACTACAAGGGAAAGAGAAATGAGTGGAGGTTTGACCTAAATAGTGTATATTTATCTCTTATTTGCCGTCAGAATATAGTTTAGGAGATTATCGGTGGGGTGCACATATTGCATGAAACTCAACGTAAAGAGCTTAACTATACAATTTATGACAAATAATTCATTTTTTCTAAGTAAAATAAGTAGGAAACCGACCAGATATTAGTGGGATTAATTATTATTTACGGTATTTTGGGTTATATTTTTGAGTATGATATGAATTTATTGGGAGATCTTGTAATCAAATAGTCAAGGACAAACAAATAACTTGGTTCATAGATAATTCATTTCTTTTTAAATACGATAAGTCCCATTGGTATTTCTAAGGTTAAACAATGCATTCAAATGTTTATAAATAATAACTTAATAGAAAAAATAAGGTGTTTGGTAACGTTTTAGATAAGATGTTTAACAGTGCCTTTCTGTGTGTATACGTCCGGTATCAGGATGTAGGCTACGTTTTAAGTCCGTATCTTAACATGCGACGTATACAAACATTTATAACTGCAATGAAAATGCTTGGCCTACTTCTATAAACTACAAAATACATTTTAATAAATCGGTTAATGAGGCTGAGAGTGTTTGAGCGAAAATAAAAACTGCATTTACTTACATTAATGTTAGCAAATAGCTGAACAATGTATGGTTGTGTGCTACATCTTTAAAAATCATTAAATATAACGTGGCTTTACACGAATCTTTATACATGGATAAAATAATTTAATCTGTCGAAAGCACTAGGGTTTCATCGTTGTTTTTCTATCATTTCTTATCATTCATTTCTTATAGAACTTAATAAATTGTGATCAATTTTTCAATTTTTTTTACGTAAGGCTATTGAAAAATTGCGAAATACTTTTCACTCTCCATTCGTTTTTGGTCAGTAAATTGTGTACTTTTTTCGTTTTATTCTTCTGTTTTGAGTAGCATTTAAGATTTCTGTGTCGACTGTTTTTTGTCGTGCCTGATGGACAAACACGAATGATAAACTGTAGTGTGGAAACATTTTTAGCAGATCCAGTATCATGTCAAGTCAAGTTTATCTCTGTTAGACACTCCCTCCCACCCCTTGAGGACGATCAAGACTAACCTAACTAAGTGTGACCAGATTTCATGAAAAACATTGGTTTCACATCCCGCAGCTGTTTGCAGCACGCGCTACAGAGGCCCTATCTTTGGGTGTTACCTGACAAGCCTGTGCCTCTTCTGGATGTTTGGGTGGGCCTGGTGTGAGATGCTACTAAACTAACAGGCCTCGAGGCTAGAGTGAAGAAAGAACTGAAGGGCCAGGTTGTCCAACTTATTTGATACAGGTCTGGTTGTTCTCTGTTAGTACTAAAGAACTTTTGGAAAAGGATGACTTACTGAGGTTGCCAAGTGGAGTCAAACTCTGTTTAGACTCATATTCGAGTGTCCATTTGAGATTTGTTTCGACAGTAATATTTATTTCTCAGTGTCAAATTCCTTCAGCTATTGGTTCTCAGCTTTCTTTTCTGTGAAAGCCAAACACGAAGAACGTACATGAAAGGCAGCGAGCTATTAGAAATACTTACTTGTACAAAAACATCTATCTTTCAATGGCGTAGGAAGCGGGGAGGTCAACACTCCCCGTTTTTCAATTTGTCCCAGTAAATATGCATCAAAATTAGGAAAATTACTCTCAGGAGAACCCAAGAACTTTCTAAGGCGAGCCCTGGACCCCGGCCGTAATGGGTGCGCCTGTGGTGCACATTCTTTCGCTTTGCTCGGTCAAATAAACCTTGCCCCCCACTTTTAGTTTGTCTCCTACACCTAAAAGACAGACTAATGCCACTAATTATTACCGCAAAGCTGAAAAAAGAAACGAACTCACATCTTCACTGCACAAAATTACAAGCGCCCCTTTAAACACATATCACCCTACAATGTTTAATATAAGGGAAAACTAAGAACAATATTAGACCACGTTTTATTTACGTTCATGGTAACTTTACAGACTGGGCACAGGACAGATAGAATATTCGGCGTCTGTCCTGTGAAAGTGGATTTTCTCCGGGTACTCCGGTCCCCCCCACAACAAAATTCACAAGGTCATTCCGCCCCCTGAAAAGAACCGTTTGACTTGACGTTACTTTTATTATTTCTTTCAGTTTATCTAAACTACCTGATTTGGTATGAAACATTATTCCTGATGAATCTACCTCCAATAACTTTATTATCTAATCAACCAAGGTAGAAAATATACATTGCACTGGCTGCTTGGTCACATGCTTATGATACCTTCCAACGAAGAAGATAAAAAAAAACCCTCACATCGTCATACAACCATGAATTATGGGCTTTTACTGGTCTGCGTTCTTTCCATCAAACCCCATCCACACCCAACCAAAGTTAAGCCCATAACTCGCGAGCTAATGAAATGAAACTCACTCTCGCTTAGTTCAAAACACTAATTTCACATACACGCGCGGGACGAAGGGGACAATTGTTCCTAAGCACAACAGCTGGGAAGAGCCCGCAATTCTTGTTGCGCTCTCTTCCTTCAAACAAAATTATCGTCAAATTAAAATAAACAAATAATAACAATAATAATTCTGTTTTTGGTTTCGAATCCGTAACAAGCTAGAAGCGCAGATCCATAACAGTCATATCTTTTCTTCAGACAATCCTGGCTTCAGGTGTTTGTCTTCTTTTACACTTTGTTCGTGCATAGGAAGTCAAACTTATGACTTTGTTGTCCTACGATGAAACTAGCTGCATTATAGCTTTTCATTAGTACTAAAATTAAAATCTCTCCGTCTCTCCGTTTGTGATAGGTATGTTTACAATTTTACCAAACCATGTTCTGTGTTTAAGAGTCACACAAACAACACAGTTTATAGTATTAAAATCATAAATAGTTTATATAAAACATATCATTTCATATAGTGGTATCAAATCTGAAACTCACTAGTGAAACTTGTGTAAACACAGACATAGTGACGACAATTAAAAACTAGGACTTTCTCGGTTAGCACATTGAGGTCAAATCTTAAGCTAGTATGTAACATAATCAATTGTTGTGTTATCCATTTTCAAAATTTCATTATCCCTATAGAAAGGGAAATGTGGTTATGTTCAGCTGATAAGCAACACATTAATAAGTAAAAGCAGATATTGTATGGTTGTTATTTATATACACATAGAATCTGTTCTCTTCTGATGGCAAAGTAACATAGACTTGTGAGATATTATTTGGATTAGGGACGAAAATGTCGTTAACAGCAAGGCTATCCAACTGATGATTCAATACAATCCTCTGGTTGTATGTTTACCTTCTTATGTATTGATGTGTGACATTATGTGCCGTAAGCCAGTTTGTTGAATAAAATTTGGTTTCGATCTGGATAGTTTACTCGAATTTTTGTACTAATAACCAAACTATAGAAATCACATCTATTCAATCATTGAAAATTTTATCTAATATTTTGTAGAAGAGAATCATTAATTTTCTTAATATTAGAATCAATCATAATTCGTACTAAAGACTGAAGGATTTCCATAACAAATAATCATAATAATAATCCATTAATTCGCAGTTAGTGATGGAAACTTAACATATCACTGTTATGGCTGATATTCAGCAATATCCAGATGCATTAATCACCCACTATGGATTAAATGTCCAGTAATTACTACATTTTGTGTTTTTATCTTCATTTTAATATGACGAAAAATACGTGCACCTTTTATTTTGGCGGCATAAAATTTCGAGTTAAACATTTTACTTATTGTTCTCTTTGAAAGTTTGAGCAGCTATAAAAAATACATATGACTGGTAAAAAAATTGTCCCATTGAAACTGTGAGTAAAGAACAATCAGTTTATTGTCCATAGTTATTTATTTATAGGTGTAGAGGACATTTATTACACAAACTTCTGGTCTAGGTGGACAAATTGAAGATCTGCTAAGGTAGTAAACACACACAGTTTTAGTATAGAGAAAGTCTACGACTGATCAAAATTACTTAATGAGTAACACTGAATTTACTGTAAAAGATAGGTATTACGTTATCATTTCAAGCTATTATATCGCTACTGAATTATAGTATAACACTTCTTAATGGTTTAAAAATACAATTAAATATCCATTATTTTCAGACAGAGTTCTGAACAGACACAGCTAATCATAAATGTATTGTATTGCGCGTTTGACAGGCTTATATCATGTATATAGGCACGAAAACAGATTTGGATGAGAATATTAGAATACATGACTCATTAACTTTCTGTAGAAATTGTTTCACAGTTTTCGTTAAATTATAAAGAACTGCCCATTCACAAGAATGTAAACCGCTATTATAGTTAGAATACATGACTCATTAACTTTCTGTAGAAATTGTTTCACAGTTTTCGTTAAATTATAAAGAACTGTCCATTCACAAGAATGTAGACCGCTATTATAGGAAACAAAATTCTGAATAAATCAAAATAAAAGTTTTCATAAAATACGGATTGATGGAATATATATAGGTTTGAATTTGTCTCTCTCCCAGTGCCCCTAGGATAACAAAATAAAGTGGACGGCAAAGTGTCAAATGTCGAAGTTTTTGGATATAAATGTCACTTCCTACCACCCCCAAAATGCAGATTTATTTCCAAAGTTATTCATATTGCTTTTGTCTTCTAGAGGAGATTTTTTTCTTTAATTAGGTTGAGGTAATCTAAATTTTGTACTTTTTTTTCCCATTTGACAGTTCAACGACCACCAAAGATTACAGAACATCCAATTGATCTTGTAGTAAAGAAATTTGAGCCTGCCAAGTTAAACTGTAAAGCAGACGGAGAACCGACTCCAGAAATTGAATGGTACCACAATGGCGAACGGATCATTCACGACACGCCAAACCGGATGATCTTACCCAAAGGCGTCTCTCTTTTCTTCCTTCGCATCATACAGAACAGAAGAGAACAAGATACTGGCACCTACTGGTGTGTTGCCCGGAACCTTCTCGGTGTAGCAAGAAGTCGAAATGCAACCATTGAACTTGCGGGTATGTAACCAAATTATCATCTTAAATTTCACATACATAAGAGTCTACTTTCATAAAGAGCTACCTAAGTATATACAAGTCTCTTGGTACATATATTTTAGAAGAATACACTCATTTCCCAATGACTTAATGCTTAATTGTGAATGAGTTTTATGCAAAGCTAGTCCATAAAATATTGATCTTTAAATAGTTAATAACCGGTGATGAAATTATTTTCATTTACTTCCTTTATTCGATATAATTCTTCATTAAACGCAAGTCAAATGATCATTGTTTGTACCAATCGGATCGCCAGGCGTTGTCGTCTCCCGAGATTAATTTTAGGGACAAATAAGTCAGATACTTACTCTATAAGTTAATAGTTACGCATTCTACATCAATACAGGTACACTTAAGTTACCGTTATCCTGACCAATATTAAGTACAGATAAAGTTGAACATAAATTACAGCAGTCTTATCGTACAATACAAATTACCTTAATCACTGTTATCCTGACGTGTGTTACAGTGAAATAACTACACATTCATTCGCACGTGCATAACACGCCCTTTTTATTAATACTTTTTCTCCATATGTATTAAGCTATCAGAACATTGTTACTATGTGATTTAGATCCAATAATTATGAGGCTTGATAACAGGTTCTTCGCTATCGGGAATACGACCATCCACCTAATCCTTATTCCTAAACAGTACAGTTTACTCCGTGACTGTATGTTCATTTTCACTCTACACAGACATTTATAGACAATTTTTTAAAGGTAAAATGTGTGTTCACGCTTTTCTCCAATGGCTTCATTTCATCCTTAGCTGCGGTCACAAAGAGCACATTCATTACCAATGAATTTATAACAACAAACGTTTCAGAGAAATCATCTCGCTTAGCCGAGGATGAGTAGAGACTTAATAAACGCCCCATTTGAGGTAGATAAACGTTGAGAATCAGTGAGTTTGGACGAGGTATTCTTGCACAATAAGAATGAGCAAACGCCCAAAGTAACTGGTTTCTCCGAATGGTGACAAGCAAACACAGGTGATAAGGCGATAACCTGACTTTTTACTGTAGAAAGATCATTGACTCCGTGTGAATTTCTACGTTAGCAAGTGTTGAGTGGTAAGCTTAGGTTTCTCTTGGACGTGTCAAATAACAGCACTCTGTTTTTATTGAAAAAAAATTTGGAGTGTCATGTTACGCAGAGATGGTGAAGGTCATCCACTTCACACTCTCAAAGCAAGCTTTTATTAATTAATCACTGAATCATAAGAAAGTGCTTAAAAACATGACATTGCCAAAAAGGAAATACATAGCTCGTTTTAAGACAAAATGTGGACTAAATATCTTAAATTATCATGTAAATATAATTGTTACGTAAAACTGATTTTGAAAATTACGAAAATCGTTGATCAATACACTTTATTTTCATTTTCTTTTCGTTTGAAATACAGAATTTACTTCTGAACCACATATTTCCTTTGAATTAAGATTTTGTGTAAAGCAAAGCAAGAAACTGACTTTCTCGTTGTTGTTGTTGTTTTCACATAAGAATTGAAAAAAAACATTTATAATTCAGTATACATTTTCAGTGTTTATTTTGTATGCTTGAAAATGTCAAAGTTGAAATACTTTTTGTTTTTCCTTATCGATAATACTATATCCGATACAACTTTGCTATGACATAAAAACTACAAGTGTTAACAGTTATTCTTATTATTTGAACGAACTCTTTCTCAAAGTACGTGATGCTAAACAATTAATGTTTTATATATTTTGGCCTAATTTTTAATGTAATTGCAAAGTACTGTGTCGTTCCCATTCAGAAGCAAGGAAAGAAAAACCAATGGGAGTAGTCATTTATCACGTGGACCACGGCAGCTTGTGTTAAGGCGTACATTACCGTTCCTTATCATAATATCCAACGTAGCAAGTGTATCAAGATAACTCTGCCTCAGCTGAACCTTTTGGCAGCCCATTTTTAACGAACTTTTGAATTATTGGCTCAAACGACTTAGCTTATATTGCGTGCAAGACTCTAACGTCTCCCGGAGTTTGTGTAGAAAACACTCTGAAGGGATTCATTAGAAGCAGGTGACGTCTCTTTATGCGTGTGTCACGGCACAGAAAAAGAATGGATAATTACTTTGTACGTGAAGTAGTTTGTAAACTGATTTATGTTCGTTTTTATTAAGACAAAACCTGCCTTTCTTCTTATCGTTGAAAACTGTTCAAAAAGAAAAAGTATAAATGTGATAAAATATAGGGATACAATGAAGAGCCTAATGTTCCAGTAGAGGAAAAAAAATCTCGAAGAATTATCTAATAGAATAGAAGTTCTTGGCCACTTTAACCCTTAATTTTAAATTTCATAAAACAGATGATAATTTAATGTTTATTCTTATAATACATCAACATTCTTTTTTACTTAAAATGTTTCGTTGCATTTCTCGTTCTCTCAGGAGTGATAAAGCAGCATTGTGAACTTACAAGAACACATTCAATAATCCACACTTTGTTAATCACGATCCTTGTTCTTTTACAGTTACTAAAATTCAGTTCTTGTTATGATTCTGAAACAAAATTAATTAACGCAGCTTAAATCATCTGAAAAAAAAATGTACATGCGTCTTAGTTGTTGAGAAACAGTCAGCTGATAAATTGAGAACTAAAGATACTGAAGAAACCTAACTCGGAGAAAAACACATTACAGATCAGGCAAAATCTTCAAATTACACGTGATTAGGCCTGATAAATTGAGAACTAAAGATACTGAAGAAACCTAACTCGGAGAAAAACGTATTACAGATCAGGCAAAATCTTCAAATTACACGTGATTAGGCCTGATAAATTGAGAACTAAAGATACTGAAGAAACCTAACTCGGAGAAAAACATATTACAGATCAGGCAAAATCTTCAAATTACACGTGATTAGGCCAGACTGAAAGTTAGGAAAGAATTATACAACTCGACCGAGTCAGAGGGTTAGGAAAAGGAACTACGTCTCGATCAAGAAAGGCGACTGTGTCTTGGCTGAATCAGAGTATTAAGAAAGGGGACTATGTCTTGGCTGAATCAGACGGTTAAGAAAGGGGACTATGTCTCGACAAGTCAGAGTTTATAAAAGAGGAATATATCTCAACGGAGTCGGAGGGTTAGAAAAAGAGGATAAGTCTTGACCGAACCAGAGGGTTTGGTCAAGCGACAATGCAAGATAAGTCCGCTATAACTTCTCTCCTACCTTTATATATACTAACTACTACTGTAGCTCTGCAAAGAATCAGTTGTTTTTCCCGAGGGTAGCTACAACCAACCATTGCATTTATTCTAAATATTTCTATAATATACCTCGCTACTCCTTGAATAATGCCTTTATAAATAGCTGTAAATGCATTCATTAGGAATGACCAGAAAAAGTAATGAAATATGAACAGTACAAAAATCCAATGGTTGAACACATTATTCTACATATAATTTATGGGCAGTAGTTTTATGGGGTGTTCCGAGATCAGGAAGATAGCATAAGAAAAAATATACCGATAGCAAGAATCTCCGCTGTAAGCTCTAGGAATGTTACCACCCATTTCTTCAACGTTAAGTGTAGCAGTTATCAACCGTTAAGTTTTTCTATACATTGGAAGTTTGACCTCGTGTAAGGCTCTACGAAGTGAATAAGCTAATTATAACTTGATTTGCTTTGTAAACGATGCGAATAGTCGAAGAAATATAAATCATGTGCGTAAGTTTCATAAATAACTGGTCTATACAAAGAAAAATGGACATTTAGACGGGTCTTATGATGGACGTGTATGCAACCGGATACTCTGAAAATAATTGTGTCGCCATCTGTCGGATAACGCAAAATAAATCATGACTACAAAAAGTTGGAACCCCAACAACTTGTGTGCTTTGTTAGAGTTATATTCTGAAGTCGTCTACGTTATTACCACCGAAATTATTGATTGAAAATAGCCAAATGATTAATGGAATTTAATGACTCAATTCGTTACATAAAAGCATAATACATCTTACTATATATATTCTGTGATAGTCAAGACAAACTTTTTTGGCAGCTCTGAATAAATATCACGTATTTTTTATATTCTTAATTCATAAACAGGTTATGTGGTGTACTCATTTTTAAAGCACAGCTCACTACAACAGCCGTCATGTTAGTGAACACATTGCCGCCTATCCCCCTTTTATTTGATAACACACCATATAAAACAACAACAAAAAATAGCAAAAAAACATCAACATCAATGTGTTTCTGATCTTGTGTTAATGCGATTCGTTTTTATAATAAATATTCAATCCCTACATATCGATCAATATCGAGTTAAAAAAAGAAAAGCTAGATTATAGGACTTTTCTGACATTACAGCATATGAGTGTTATCTAGTCGCTCAAGTTGTTCAAACAATCTTAACCCTTTTAATATAATTTTATAAATTAAGTAATGTTTGTACTTTGACCATATTTTAACACTTTGTCGAATTCCCAATAAAGTGCGTGCTCTGCTCATGTTGAAAACGTCATCTTCTATGCTACTGAAGGTAAACTCTTCATGCTATTAAAGACAACTAAACATTTATATATAATGCAGTTATTCAAACATTCAAAACATAGCATGAGGGTTAAGCATCTACAATTTATACACATTTCTGTGAATATTACACCTAAAGCTAGAGCGTTTATCACAAACGGAGTTAAACCAATCATCTCTTTTAACATGATATTAATGAGAGGTCGTTTCAGCTCATCAAGAAATTACCCAGAATATGTTCTAAGCAATAAATCTCAATTTATGTCAGTTTTCAGATGACACGTGACACAGATTTTATATTCAAATGAGGAGTTATCGGATTGTTCATTTCTTCAGCTAGATCATTTAATTCAGGACATAAAGTGTCTTCGGATTGAATTGCCTTATAAATGTATAGTTCTTGGAACATCAATACATTTGATATAGCAAAAGGGTATTTGGCGCTTTTCCAATCCACACGC